TGTGCATAGGGTCACTATGAGTTAGTTCCCACTCAGTGGCACCTAACAACAACAACACAAAATAAATTAATTATTCATCATTCCTCTTCTTTCATACAAAATAGAGAACATTACAAACATTATTTTGAAGAGCCTTGTGGTGCAATAGTTAAAGCACTGGGCTGCGAACAGAAAGGTCGGTGGTTACATGCCACGAGCCACTCCACAAGATAAGAATGTGGCAGTCTGCTTCCATACATATCTACAACCTCAGAAACCATATGGGTGGTTCTATTCTTCTTTTTTTTAAAATGTTTTATTGTGAATTATGTGATAGTTTACATTGGAGGACATTAGCTTTACATTCATCTTATCATATATCATTTCTTTGCCATGGTTACAATCCCCTCCACGCATCATCAACCAATCAAAGGGAATACCCTGCCAGCCTGGCCCTCAGTCATCAGCACACAGCCCTCTCACTCTCTGGGCCTAATGTTCCCAGCCACTCCATCCCTCCACGTCATTGTCTCTGCCTTCATCTCTGGTGCCACTGCTTCTTTGGGTAGGGTCCCGCTCTCCTCTCCTCTCACTTGATGGTCCCAGGGACCTCCACTCACAGACTGCAAAGTCAATTACTCCCCTGGTTCTATTCTGTCTTAAAGGGCTGCTATGAGCTGGAATTTACTAGACAGTAGTGGATATATATGCATTGTGCTATAATTTGATTTTTCTTAACACTACAACTAAAGGTCATTCCACATCAGTATGTAGACGATAGGCTCATTTTTTTGTTTTAACAGTTGCATTCTAAACTTTTAAATAGAATCCTACTGATGCACATTTGAGTCCTGATATGGTGCTGCACGATAATGTACTGGACTGCAAGGCCAGTTTGAACTATAAGATCAGTGTTTCAAACCCACCAGCCACTCCTCGGAAACCCTATATAGGGCCACTATGGGTGGGAACTGACTTGACAGCATTTAACAACAACGACAATGCTCATTTGGAGTCCTGGTGTGGCACTGTGGGATAATGCACTGGACAGCAAGGTCCGTTTGAACCGCAAAGTCAGTGGTTCAAATGCATCAACCGCTTCTCAGAAACCTTATACAGGGTCACTATGAGTCAGAAATGACTTGAAGGCATTTAATAACAACAACAACAATGCTCATTTAGTTTGTTTTTAATTCCTTACTATTTGAAACAAGGCTGCAATCAGTAGTTTGTGCTTGATGTGTTTTAGATTTTGACACACACCTTATCTGTCTAGCAAAACTTCAAATGTATTCATCTTTAAATGGCTTTCCAATAGCTCACCTCTGGAAGCTGTCTCCCTCCAATCTCCCCCATAGTCAATGACTCTCTCTGCTTTGCATCTCTTGCATCTGGTAGGGCTTCTTTGATTGCACTAACCCCAGGGTATGGTGATTTGTTCATGGACCTATATGTTTTTCATACTGAACTATGATTCCTTCTCAAGGGCAGTGATTGTGTCTTAGACATCTCTCTATCAACAGTGCCCAACACAAGCTTGATGTACAGTTGTTGTTGTGAAGTGTTTTCGAGTCAGTTCCAACCCATAGCAACCCTGTAAAGGGTTTTTGATGAGCAGCTGGTGAGCCTGAACCGCCGACCTTGCAGTTCAAACGGCTTTGCAGTCTGGCACATTAACCCACAGTGCCACACCAGGACCCCTGATGTACAGTAGGTGCTGGGAGAAGCATAATAGGACATAGCCATTCTGATTGGTCATGGACCACTTATATAATACCTCGAGGGGACGTATATGAAAGAGGAAAGTTTTATGATCTCAATTATCATGTATATTATATACACATATATGTACGTGCCCCCTCCCCCCCCACACACATACAGATGAGTGAACTTTGAAAAGTTCAATGGAAAAATGGGATGAAAAGAAAATAGAATTTTTCCATGAGTTTTTTGAAGCCCTCTTGTATATATGCTATGACTTGAACTGTGTCTCCCCAAAAGAAATATGGACTGTATTAATAAAATAATCCTATTTGAAAATAGAATTTTTTTGACATGTCAATGAGGCCCTGCTTAAATAGTGTGGGCCTCTAAATTTAATAGTTTCTGAGTGATCTCTTACATAAAACACAGAATAGAGACAGAGATGACACACAGGCAAGTACACTTGAACATCTAGATGGGAGAGGCACCATGAAATACAGATGCATCTAGAAGTAGCAAGAGGACACCAGAATCCAGGAGAACGACCAACAGAAATGAGCAATGTGGCTGAGATCCTGCTTCAAACTTTGAGCCTCCAGAACTGTGAGAAAATACATTTCTGTTCTTTAAAGCCTCTCATTTGTGGCATTTTTTGTTACTGTAGCACTAGGTAAGACGAAAACGTACGTCTGTGTTCTTGCGTCATTTTATGTGATCGTGCCTGCTTTGCCATGCAGCGGATTGACTGGAGTCATTTCTGGAAGCAACCCAGGAAGAATGCCTGTTGTTCTGGCTTCACTTTTAATAATACATGGGCTTCATTACCCTCAGAGGTGAAAACAGCAATGTCAATGAAACCAAGTGGGAGAGAACGTTTTCAATGAGCTTTCTTACCTCAATTTCCTGATAGGAGTTGTTGATCATGGCTATTAGCATATTGAGCAGCACTACCACCATGGTGACATTATAAACGCCATAGAGAACGTAGCCAATGTTCTCGATGAATTTGTGGTCATATTTCAGCACCACCGAGATCACTTCAGACAAGCCAAATATGGACCAAAATAAGGTTTTAAAACTTTCTTCCACCCTACAAGAAAACAGACAGTCCTTTCATGCAAGGCAAATACTTTAAAAATGAAAGCTTCCATCACCCAAGCTTTGGTGTCTACTTTGGGGTTGGACTGGGACTGGGCTGGTTGGTGACATCTATATTGGGAAATAATGACATATTCAGATTTCTAAGAGTACTTTGATAGAAGATTTTAAATTACAGGCTCCTTGTTTTCCATTCAATCCATTTACGGGGACTTCTGGCTGTGGAACCATTTTTATCTTGTTTTAAGTAATTAAACGTTTTAAATTAAACACCAGGGCAAATGCTTGTTCTTGTATGTGATTAGCCTCAGAAAGCACACTCTTCCTTCAGTAGTCTCTTAAGGGTCTCTTCTCAGACTACCCATTCCCACAAGAAAAGGAGCTTTGGGAGTAACCTGGGGAAGTGGGTGGGAATGACACTGGTGCCCTCTGACGGAGCTCTTATCACTGGTGCCTGGTACTTGCTGGGCACTTGACATAGAGTAGCTTATTTAGACCCCATGATCATCCTCCATTTACAGATGGAAAACGTACAGCACAGAAACTGAAGTGCCTTTCTCAGTGGCACACTGCGGGAATGTAGGGTGCAAATCCAGATACATCTGAGGTTTTAAAAAGTATGTACTTTACAAAAAGTTTGTTATGGTAAAATGCACAAGGGTCAAAAGCATTGCTGCAAAATCATGGAAGCCTTTATTACACAAATATCAAAATGTGAAGTTATTGTTTCTCAACATCGCCTCCATCTACAGCTATACACCTCTGAAGGCAGTGTTTCTACCTCTCTAACCCTGCTCCTAGTATACGGCACTGTAGGACCAGCCCTAGACTGTGAACCACAAGGTCGGCTGTTAAAACCCACCAGCTGCTCCTCGGAAACCCTATACAAGGTCACCATGACACAGAACCGACTGGATGGCAGTTAACAACAGCAGCCTTTCCTTGAAGAGTTCTGTGCTCTTTGACATCAAAACAGTAGTTTTTGCATTCTTGAGGGAGACCAGTTGTGTTCTTTTTAAATGGTCGTTGAAGTTGGGAAACAAAAAGAAGTCTGAAGGGGCAAGATCAGGTCTCTAGGATGGATGGGTAAAGTTTCCCGATATTTTAAAAATTCTCATAGGACAACCCTTGCTACCCTCTAAGAATAAGCAGATGCATTGTCATGATGGAAAAAAAATGTCCTCAGCACAGTTTTCCTGTCCTTTTTCTCACCAATGCAATTTTCAGTTTTCTTAAAAGTTCATAATGCTATTTGTGCAGTAATCATTCTGTGTCCTTCCAGAAAGTCTACCAAGATGACCTCTTTGGAATCCCCAAAATACAGTCACCA